ATCTTCATATCTGTTGGAAACTCTAAAACTGATTATAGTGCCTGCACATGGTAGGTTCTGGTTAATGTTTATGGTTGCTCCTGAAATAGCAGTTTCCTTCTAACAAAATGTTTATTGTTGGTGGCAAATACTTCTGGAGCTATACCATTTGATGTTGGTTGAAAGTAAGTACACTCACAGTCTATATATAATGAGCAAAAAGAGAATACCCTAGCCAGTGTCCAATAGTGTAGGGCTAGTGAGATGTGTGAACATAAATTTGGTGCATACAAGCTGCAGAATGTACTTCATGGACTATTAGAGGAGGAGATTAGATAATTAAAAAAAATTCTCAATTCCAAATACCAGCTCTGGTTCAGATAAATTTTGCTGGGGTCCTTAGGCAGCTATCAGAAGTCTCTCAGCTCTTGACCTATTTGATGTCCAAACATTCAAGAGTATGGGGGGAAAAAGTGGCAGGAAAAAAATCCTCATAGAACTTCCTGTGACAGGTCAAAGTTTAATCACAGCAAATAATACAGATTTCCCTTTTATTATAACCACAATAGAAAGGCAGGGCTGTGTTTACAAAGCATGTTGTTTGGGAGACCTTTGTAAATTGTAATCTTCGGAATCCCAAACCTATTGGATGTGATCCCATCCATTAGATGAAGGCAACTTGCCTATGCATTAGATCCAGAATAGCAAGTTAAATTGAGAACACGAACAGGAAGCAGTCATTAAGAATTACAATGGGTAGGATGCAGAGTTAATTCACAGAGATATTTTCTTATGAGATAATTACATCACTAGGACAGCTGGAAAGCTGCGTGCTGTGCTGGACTGCAAAGCTCGTTCTCTGCCCTGCAGCTGGAGGGTCAGGACAATAGAGACAGCAAAAGAACTTACTTTATGGGATAGTTAGGAGCTTGGCTGACTTAATTGTGAAATGATAACAACCTCTCTGCCTTTTTTGGATTGTTTTGCACAGCAAAACTGAATTCCTAGCCTTAGTAACTGCTGATAACCACTTTTCACTTCTACTTTTTAAACACTCACTTGGATCACATTAAGCTAAGCTCTAATGAATATATATTAAAAATGTTCTTTTCCTCTAAAAGTCATCTGAGATACAGTATTCATATTCAACACAGTGTGACTACATTTTTCTTACGGAACTGCAGTCATGCAGTCATTGAAATGGTGTTTTTTTCAGTTTACTGAATATCTAGCCAAAAAAAAAAATTCTTTAGGAAGTCTTAAAATGTTGGTCAACATAAGGAATCATGCAGTTGAAGTTATTTTCCAGTGTTTACATTCAAATGTTCAGACCCGTTTGGCTCTTTTGTTTTGCAAGTGTAGGGGTTCTAGGCAGCCTAGCCACATTCCTCAGTGATTTGTATAAATATATTACAGTACCTACCTGGCAGGGGAGATACCATGATCACGAAAGTGGTTTTCCCAGGGCAAGGCTTATCCATTGTACTACAGATGTACTGACCCCTACGATTTCCCCAAATGTGGGAAATTTAGTTGACTACATAATTTGTGGTCAAAAAGATTTTTTGAAAAATAAAATAATGAAATAACAAAATAAATATATTATAGATTGTTAACCTCCAGCCAATATCAGGGATTTCAGTTCTTGTTTAGCTCAGCTGCATTATGTGATACTTCTTTTTTATATTAAAGTATCTATCTTCTTTTTATTGGTCACCAAAGTGACCATTACTTGATGTGCAGTAATGTCGGAGTCATTATAGATGAAAAAGCATCATAAATATTATATTCTAAAATTTCTAAGATCAATATTTACAACTGTGTATTCAAAATGCATTTCTTACCCATTATGACTAATATAACAGTTAATTTTTACTACAGTAATGTTTACTAAACATTAGTCAGAGAAAATTTAAATCAGACAAAATTTAGTATTTTAGTGAAGAGCAGTATTTCCCTAAATGTCTTCTGTGGAGTACTAAGTCTCTAGGATGTTGGTGGTCAGCCAGCATTGGGGCCAAAAGGTGGAGAGTATCGACAGGCATTCTTAGGACTTTTACTTCTATTGATGTCCCTGGTGAATTTCTACGGAGGCTCTAACACACTCCACCTCCCAAGTGAAGTTACTAATGGCACCTTGAAAATAAAAAACAAAAAGGATTATCTCCTTGAACCTCGAAGAGCCACTTCTACCTATAACACCATTGTTTTTGAAGAATTTGCAAATATATACAATAAAATTCATACAAAAATGTTCTCCTCTGTGTACTGTCACACATGTCTCTTTAAAATTCCACTTTTTAAAAATTGCCAATCAAAATGAGTGCCTTTTCTCCAAGGTTTATGAGCTTGGACAATTAGCAGTGGCTTCAAAGTGAGCTCACCTTTCGTATCTTGAGCATCCTTTGAGAGTTAAGCGTGGAATCCACTTGCTGCAGGTGGCATCAGAGAGTCTTAACATTTTGAAGAGAGTGGTAGAACTTTCAGGAAAACAACTTGGGTGGGCTAGATGTTCTTGAATTGTGTCATGCAAACAGTGCTTGAAAACGGTTTCAGGGAGATGAAGCAATAGAGCATGCTGCCAGGGGTATTAGGTAACTTCTAAGACAACGGTTTAGGGAGCAGGTGACTTTTTCGTTCAGCAGTGTTTTAGGATCACTTTATTCTCCAGTATGTCCCTGGTAGAATTTTCTTTTCTTTTGGAAATTACTAAAATGTCTTATATATGTTATAAACTATAAATCCAATAAAAACCAGAGTTACTAAAATCATTGTTGACTCCAGTCAGTGATAAACAATATTTTTTTTCATTAAATGTATTAATTATAATGGGAAACATATTAAAAGTAAAGAAACACAACTGAAATGAGCATGTGACCCAGTTTCTGTGTTTGTATTTGATTTTAGGACATGCCATTTTTGATTCATTGCTGTTTTATTTTGTTACAAAAATAGAAGCAACAGATATAAAGAAGGTTGATGATTGTGGAACTCCTTTTTCTTCTTCAAAGGGAAGAAAAAAATGAAGTTGTCTAAGAATGCAGATTTAATAGAAATAAGATGGCTCCAAGGAGCCTATGCATAGGTGGTAGTTACTTCTTGTTACCAAGTTGAAAAAGCTGTTTTGATAAACTTCCCAAGTGTTAAATCCATACATGATGGCAATCATATTTTTTATAATGTGGGACTTATATGATTTATGGCACTCTCTTTAATAAATATTAATTAGGTGATTTTACTTTATCAGATTTTCCAGAATAAATCACATTAGGAGAAAATATAAAGTTTAAAATTAGATATTAAAACTTAGAAATCAAGAACATTTGGAAGTAGATAAATGTGAGAGAAAAATTTGGTTGATTTTAGTTGATTTTTAATGGACTTGTGGAACTCCCCCCAAACTGCCCCATAATTAAAAAGAAGTTTGGATCTAGCTGTGAAGTATGTGTAGTTGGTGTTCTGTTGTTTGCCCCACTAGATTTAACTTAATTAGAGAGTTTTTTTAGTTTCTTTTAAAGTTTAGGTTAGATTCACAGAGAAGTACCAAAGGTGAGGCCCATAAAGCCCAGAAATGTAGTAGGGTGGCGTGGTGAAGCAGCTAGGCAATAAAAATTTAACAGAGGTAATACATACACTGGATATTTAAGAGTCAACTCTGTGTTTTAATAATTGGGTTGTATGCACATTTATAGTTTCTTTGAAGAGAGTGTTTATTCAGTTTTTTTTAAATTAATGAAAATAGTCTGGATGCGGTGGTGCATGCCTATAATCCCAGTGACTCGGGAGGCGGAGGTGGGCAGCTCACTTGAAGTTAGGAGTTCAAGAGCAATCTGGGCAACATAGAGAGACCCCATCTCTACAAAAAAATGTAAAAGTTAGCCAGATGTGGTGGCACGCACCTGTAGTCCCAGATATTCGGGAGGCTGAGGCAGGAGGATCGGTTGGGCCCAGAAGTTTGAGGTTGCAGTGACCTATGATTGCACCACTGCATCCCAGCCTGGGTGACAGGGTGAGATCCTCTCTCTTAAAGAAAAGGAAGATAAAAAAAATATGAATAGCATTAGCATTTTATTTACCTTTACTTAATTTATGCTACATTCTTATCAAGAAATTTACTTACGGCTTATTTATGACTAGTTTGTTTAATTCTTCAAACATTTGGTGATAATCTGTTGTGCCAGATAGTGTACTGTGGTTGAAACTGAAGGAAATTTTGTCCTTTGGCTCAAAAATTCTTTTGACTCCTGAAGGTTTTGTTTTTAGAACTTAAATTTTGATTTAGTTTTAAGATATTATGGAAGAAACTAGACTCACTCATCCAAACTTAATTGTAACATTTGTTAATCTGTCTTTTCATCATTTAAGGGCAATACAGTTTACCAATGCAGCTTTTTCCCCCCAAAAAAGAAGTGTTAAAATTTCACAATGTTGGTTCACGTGGTATTTGGAATTTTAAAACTAATTAAGAATTTATGCTCTTTCCAAGGATGAGAAGGCTCTCTTAGAAATAAACTAAATTTTTCCATATTCCATCATACTTGTTTTCACAAGCATGGTTGTGACACCTTAAATTCCAGGAAAATCTTCATTGCAGTGTTCAGTATCTCCAAAGAATGCTGAATCTGTCTCTGATAATCCTCAAACTGTGAGCTAAGAAGAAACATATTTTGCCTAGACTGCAAGTTTTTGAAATTATCTCCATTGGCAACTTCTACCCTAAGGGCTTAAGTAAGGACAGTCTCCAGTCATTCTTGTGCTCCAGTCGTGTTGCTTTCTTTTTGTTACTGTGGGTGTTCTCACCATTAACCAAATGTACTCATATTGATATTATATTTATATTTAATATCATATTGATATTAGAGTATCAGATCCCATTAGGTGTCTTTACATATTATCACAAGGAATGGTCAACACTGGCCTTTTTTTTCCTATTATGAGATCAAATTGAGGAATACATGTAAGACATACGGGTTACTTCTTTGCTTATTGCCGCCTACTTAATCGTTCTTTTTTCTTCTAGATTGTTTGATGTGTGCACAGTGTCACGAACAGACCGAGAAACCAAACTAACATTAGTGTTTGAACATGTTGATCAAGACTTGACCACTTACTTGGATAAAGTTCCAGAGCCTGGAGTGCCCACTGAAACCATAAAGGTATCAAGAATCATCTTTCCGCTTGGTCATAGGCATATACTATAACAAATATTATAGTATGTTAAGCATTGGCATTCTTTTCTTAGGACAGTTGTCAGAATTGGAGCTTTTAGAACTCAATATGTAGTTTAAAAATCAACTAAATAAAATGTTCAAAGAATGAGGTATATTCTAGTTCATCAAGTAAGTGGAATGTTGTAGTTTATTAATTTTGGGGCTAAGTGAAAAACTCTTTGGTTCTAATTCATATTAAAATTATTGAAAAGTATGTATTTGTACATTATCTTGGCCTGACCTTAGAAAGTATAGTTTAGTAAGTATAGCCCAGTCTTTTTCTGATCTTCATTGTCTATGAGGGACATAATTTGGAAATCGTTCATGAGCACATTGTATGTTATAGTTGTATACTGAATCCAGGGCAGCCTGTGCTGCATAAATCTGAAATAGCAGTTATAGATCCTTCTTTCTCCATTTTTCTAATTTATAACCCCTTTGTAGGAAGCCTGAGTACCAGGTACAAGGCCAAACTGTTGGCATTCAAAGATGATTAAGATATGTTTTCTGCCTTTAGAGGTCAGCAAACTAGATGCAGTATATTGACTAGAAGTTCTTTCTTCCTTTAAGTCTAATAGGAAAAACTGCTGATAAAGTTTTGTTGGTTTTACTTGCATTCTGCTTAACTGAACTTAACTGAACTTCACAGTAGATCTTTTATATTTGTGCACATCATGCACAGGTCTTCATGAAGACCTTTTTATCTATGTGAATTACATAGCTTAATTAAATAGACTGCCTACCGTATTGATTGTTTAGAAATGAGTTACAAAACTTCAGCATCATTCTAGATAGAAATTAATAGCTAAAAGTAATTTATCTTCTTAACAGAGGAAGAAATGTCTCTTAGTGATAGCTTGATAACATTCTCAGATACTGATACAGTAAGAATTTGACATATTGAATTATTTAATCCTTTGGTTTTAGACTAATTTCGAGTATGGTTTTTCCCATCTGGCTTTCATAAAAGAATATGGTGCTCAGCAGTAGTCCCATTTCTTCCTGAGCAGTTTTGAGGACAGTTAGGTCTTCCTAGTGCAGGTACGCCTACTTAGCTGTTCTTGGCCCTCTTCCGTCTCTGCACCTCTCTTTCCTCTGACATTCTATTCTAGTTCTGTGGCTTCAGTTCTCTTCTTCATGAGTTTGTCAAAAACCCCATGTTCAGCCTGCAGAGCATAGCATAGTCCTTTTTCATACACTGTTTTCTAGCCAAATTGGGCTAATCACCTTTCTCTTAATGTGCTCTCTGACTTCCCGCCTTGGTGGTCCCCTTTCTCGTGCCATTTCTTTTGCTTTCCCTCACCAGTAACTATCTGCCTACATTTTTCAAGCAGGATCAACTCTTACAGCTGGATTTGTAAGGCGAATCTGATTTGCCTTGCTACACTGTTCTACATATCTCTACCTCTTTATCATGTTTCTGCCTTTAATTGTGGTTATTTACATATGTCTTACATATTCATTCATCCTTGTGCCCTGACACAGTGTCATACACAATGATTTGTACACATTCATGGGAAGTCTCGTAACTAGATCGAGCAAATATTGTTATTATGAACACCTACTGGGAACACAGAAGTGGATTCTTTATATAGAATGCTTTGTTGTAATAAGAGTTTTTCTGACTCTATTTGTACAAATTATTGAATACTCTGTTCAGGGAGGGTCCTGTGCTTGACACTTTAGGGACACAAAACTGAATTAGACATGAACCTACTCTCAAGGACCTTAGTGTGTAAGAGAAGAGACAAAAATGCACACAGAAGCATGTGGTACACATTCTCTATGGTTATTTCAGTAGTTTAGGGGGTGTTTTCAAGTAAAAAACCATTTATTTATAAATAAGCATAATCTAGTACTGATTCTTTGCATTATGATACCCAAATATTTTCTAAAATGTTTTTCAAAGGCTCTAAATCATAGATATTAGTATCGACATTGTCTTGCATATGTTGGAACGTGACATGTTGTCAAACTAATTATAAATATGCAAAATATTTTAACATGAAATAGATACAAAACAGAAAATCAAGATAAGACCTCACATTAGATCATCTAGGCTTAGGGGATTTTCCTCTACCCACTGTTCTGCACCATGTTTTCTATGGCACTGTTTACCTGTTAAAGGGCCACTGACATTCAGGATATTCTAGTGTTCATTCAAGACATAAATTGCATTAGGAGTGCAGTACTTGGATAAAACTGGGGTGCTCCATGGTGTCTTACTATAGTGGTAAAATCTTTTTGTTCATCATTTCATCAGCATGTTTATTAGAAAAGAGCACATGATGGGCTTATTTCCCAGGCTTACTTATATCACATAACAGTTCTTCAAATGCATTTAAATACTGTTTGTTTTCAAAAAATAAAAAAAGGCATTAAACCACACCTGAAGCCAAAAGTATTTGTAGTGCTCGCCTCGGCAGCACATATACTAAAGATTGGAATGATACAGGGAAGTATTACATGGCCCCTGCGCAACGATGACACGCAAATTCGTAAAGAAAAAGAAAAAAAAAAAGTATTTGTAAAGGTTGATAGTCGGGTGAACTCACTGGGCAAACCTTGTTATTATTGATGGAGTTCATGTCAGACTTTAATAAAGTAAGTTAAGATTATAGCCCTGAACTGAAAATTGTCATTGAGAAGCTCATGAAAATAAAATAAAATCATACATGGTTCTTTCCAACATTGTTAAATACACCTTATTCAAAAAGATAAATAAATAAATAATAAACATATATATCTTATTCATACTTCATCTTGAGGTTTTCATCACATTCTTTAATCTCTTTTCTTGATGTCCTTAAGGTACATCCGCTCTTCGTTGACAGAGACATTTGCATAAAGGAGCCTGTTGACTGCTGTACTGTGAAGTCAACACATATTCTAATTTTGCCTCATAGGCTTATCATTGCCATATCTTGCTTTCCTCTTTCTAATTCAGAATATTATGTTTGGATGTATTTATTTGTGAAGGAGTTCAGTGCCATTTTTATTTAATTTTTGTTGGATCATTTAAGATTTAATATTGTCTTCTTGAACTTCCACACTTAAACTTGTGAGACAATAATTAATACCTTAATGATTGTGTTGTTTTTTTCTTTTAAAGTTCATGATAAATTTAGAATATTTGTGCTCATATAACACCTTCCAGTTATGGGGGCTTTATAACAAAAAAACAGCTCTCAGATTTTTATTTCTCTCTTTCATGCTCTTATCTGCCATCCTATGAGAGAGGGTCAGAAAGAACCATAAATAAATTTCCTTACCATTTTCTGTAGTCATTTGTAACTTCTACCCAGAAAAAGAACTATATATATTATAGCAGGATATATTAATATATGGAGAGAGACTCATATGTAAAGTTTTCTCCTGTACAGGCTTTCAAAATGTAATGCCCTCTTTTACTGAACCATTCATTTGATATTTAGGCTTGCCTGTGTAATATATTATCTTTCCTAGGATGACCTGGCTTCTCAACTATCTTATAAACTCTTTAAGAACCTAGTATCATTCTGTGGACATTCTGTGCATATAAACATGTTTCCTGAAATTGGCAATATAATTTCACAAGTTTGAGGCACTGAAAGGGCACTCAGAAGATGGGCAGCCTCTAAAATAGGACAGGGCTCAAGACCATATGGCCTCTTTTGATGATTCAATCTTGGAATAAAAATTATATTTATATATGCATCCTTATGATAAATGAATTCTGTAGAGCTTCAGAGGGCCAGAAAACCTCAAGGTTTATGTGTCTGTGCAGGTCATTTTCTCTGTGAATTAGATTTCATTTTATCTTCCATTGAATGTTTCTTAGAGATTTCTGTTGGTTGTAATATTTTGAGTAAGAGATAAATTGTACTATTAGGTTTATTTTACAAAACCCAGACTTCAGAGACTGACACACACTCTTAATAGCACCTGTTTTCTGCCTCTGGGAAATATCTGTTTTCATGAATAGTATCTGCTTGCAGTAAACAGTGGCTCTGATGTCAGTATGGGATGCCCAGGGCTGATTCATCTTTCTTGATTTGACATAATGCGAAGTGACTGACTGGTCCCTGTATTGCACATGAGGAAAGTCTCCTAGATCCCATTCTCCTCTCACTCCTAGAGGAATCAAGCCATGGCCCCTCTTGGCTCCTGGTGGTCTCCACTTTGCCTGAATTATGAGCAGGTGATTTGTCTCATCTTTGCAGGACACAGAGCAAATTAACATGAAAATATCGCTTCCCAGAAAACAAGGCAGGCTTGAATGCCCTGTCGCTGCTGGTCATTAGCCATCTGCCACTGACACTCATACTCTGTTTATCACATTTGAAATTCAGAGCAGATGTTGCATAATAAGGTGATCCCAAAAACAAGGCAAGAAATTCAAAGAACAAATACTCCACAATAATGATAAAGATCTTGGAAGGAAATTTTTTTCAATCTGATGTCATGGCTGGACTAATTGAATAGACCATATTTTTAAAAACACATACACACACACACACACACACACACACACATCTCTCCTGGTATATGATGCAAACCACTTTTCACAGTAACAGGAAATAATTAAAAGAAAGTACATATGTGAAAGATACCTGAGAGGACTATTCAGTAAAATCTCTTTTAATAAGCAAAATGGAATGTTATAATAACACTAGTTCTGGTGTAAAGGGCCTCATATATCAGTCTTGCCAGTGTTGACTTTTACCGTAGGATGGACCTCAACTTACAGCAATTTGACTTCAAATAGTTCACTCCTGACAGTACAGTCAGTTCTCTCAAGGCTTTTAGCTTATCAACATGGTTTCCCAGACAGTTTATTTTCTTCCTGGCACTTAAGACCCTGTGTTGCCTTTATCTTTTGCCTCCAGCGTCCCCCACCACCACCCCTATTAGTACCCACCTCAGCAACCCTTAGCTCTGTATAGCTCTGCTCCAGCTTCCTCTTC